GCCGTGCCAAGGGTTAGGTGGTCCTGCTTGCCTGGGGTTCCAGTGCCCAGCTGGGGGGCCCTGGATCCTGGGGTCCTGCTGTAGGCTCGCCCCGCCCCACTCAGTTGGGAGAGGGGCCCAATGCCAAGGCTGAGAGGAGGGACCGTCTTCCAGCCTCTGCACCAGCTTCGCTCCAGGGTTCTTTTCTCCAGAACACCACTTATACCCTCTGGACAGCGCGGGGAGCGACACCAAGGCAACATGGAAGAGATGCCAGAACATAAACACGGACACAGATGCTCACTTATAAACACAGCCCTCCCTCGGGACCACCGCCTCCAGCAGCCCTGCATGCAAACCCACCTACACAGGTACCCTGGCCCGTGCACCCACAGATACAGAGAAGAGGCGCCTTGAATCCTGCTGAGCCCAGAGGGAGATCAGTGATGGATGAATGAATGAATGAATGAATGAACAACATATGTAACATATGTCTGTGTATATCTGCACATATATGCGTGCACATGCACTGTAGAGCCACCTCTCCACCTCTGGAGGTCAAGACAGGCCTGAGCGTCCAGCAAGATGAGATGTGAAGTCTACCTCATCTTACACACACACACACACACACACACACACACACACACACACACATTCACGGCCTAAAATTTCATCAGTCTCTCCTGGGGCAGGAGTGACCCTCAATCACTCCGTGGTGGAGTGGCACCGCCAACCAAGAAAGGGACCTGCAAACCCCTATGACTCAGGCAGCCGGTACCCGGCCTGGGCAAGGCACCCTGGTGTCCCCCTTTCAATTCTGGGGCCACAGAGGGGGTGGGTTTAATACCTTCCAGTAGGTTCCCATTCCTAGAGGGCCTCCCCCTCCCCCAAGAGCCTGAGGAGCCCCCTGTGCCTAGAGAGAGGGCAGAGGAGGGAGTGTGCCACATGCTGAGAGGGCAAAGGTCACAGGTGAGGAAGAGGGGAGGAGCGGGCACAGTGGGGCCGGTGTGAGGAAAGCCCCCCAGGCCAGGAGGAGGCGGACTCCCGGGGGAGACAAAAGGCCTGCAGCCCTGGCGTCCTGCCCCGCTGGGAGGGCGTTTCGCCCCCAGGACTCAGCGTCCATCCGAGGCCGGGCGTCCAGTCACTCAGGCCCAGGAGCGCACAGAATGTAGGGGCCTCTCTGGCCACTCCACCCCCGCTCCTGACTGCGCAATTGGGGCGCGCCCCCTCCAAATTCTGAGCGGAGGAGCTCGGAATTAATGAGCTCAGGGCGGTGCCAAGTGCTGACCGGCTCCCTCCCTCCCACCCCTTGGGACCCCCAGATCCTGGGCACCCCTTTGTGATTCAGCCTCAGGGAACCCGATTACCTGCTGGAAACGAGTTCTGGGTGTGGCCTGGGAGGCAGAAGAGGGTGAGGGGTTTTAACCCACGGGAGCTGCGCAGGGACGGATGAGGGATGGATGGGGGGGGCGGGGGGGGGTCGTCCCTAACACCCCACAGACCCAGCCTTCTAAGCACCAGACCCTGCCAGTCACTCTCAGCCTCTCAGAGCTGACACGATTTCAGAGAAAGTCGTAAATCGCTCCCTCGGAGTCGCCCTCGGCCCCACTCGCGGAAAATTGCGTGTGCGAGTGAAATGAAGGAGAAGATGTGAAAGGCAGCAGGCGCTGACCTGGGAGGCCAGAGAGAAGGCGAGGGTCCAGGGGAGCCACCGCCGGAGGCAGACATTCCTCTGCACCGCCTGCCA